ACGCTGTTTGTGTGGAAAAGCGATGGCCAAGGGAAAACTTTAGAGTGGTTAAAGAAGCTAAAAACCAATCAAAGTCTAATACCATTTTTGTTTGTTTGTTTGTTTGTTTTTAATTTCAAGCTATTCTTAGCCCAAAGAAACTGCTTTGCTTACAGTACAAGCCACAACGATCTGAACTTCACTTCACTTGTTTGTGAGGAGGTCTACCCCCTCCAGCTAGGGAGAGTGAAGATGCTGGTTCAGGCTGATAAAAACTAAGAATTGTTCCCTTTGTTTTATAGGTTGGACCAATCTATAGGGAAGCCATCTCTTTTTATCCCCATCTCAGGTAAGTTAATGTGAAGGATGTGTCTAAAGTTAATCTGATGAAGATATAATTAATGGAAAATCTTGTTAAAATAATTTTTATGTTGTTGACAAGTTTTTAAACAGCGTCAACCAGTTGTGGTCTGAAGGTTAGGCATCCTCAATATTTAGTCATCAATGCGTTTAAAATAGGGTTGTTCTTATTTAGATATTTAAAGTACCTACTATCCCTGAAGTTTTCAAAGTGCTGGATCTAATCTCTCTAAGACTCACCATATTTTCAATAAAATGGCATGCTACAATTACAATGTTCCTATGAAATCAGTAATATTCACATAGAGCTTTGGTAGCTTTGAAAAGAGACTGGAAAAGGAGCATAAAGTAATAAGTTTGTTTGCGACAAGTCTGGCTCATGAAAAATCTCATTTAATGTCATTTTCACACTCATATTTCTGTATGACTTATAAGGGGAAACGTGAGAAAATGTTACAAAATGTATTGTTGAAGTTGTCTGTAGAGTCTTTTGCATAGTGATAGTTTATTTTTAAATGGCAATTGAAACATTAGCAACATTGAATACAGTTTTCTTCTCCCAGATTAAAGCATAAAACTAAGGTTGAAAGTGCCTTAAACTTAAGGGCTATTAAAAGCCATGGCATGGGCTAATGCTATAAAAAGAAACAAAAAGCTGCTTTTAAGGAATAAAACTACCAGCCTGGCAAAGGTGTTCAGTTGCACTGCGTTGGTGGGCTAGTTAAACCCACCCTGTTGTGGCTTGCTGCTATTTTGTTATAACATCATATATTAATTTGAAAATGTTTCTTGTTCCACAGAAAAAAGCAAAGATAGAGGGAATAACACAATTGGTGCCAGGCTGAACAGAGTGGAGGACAAGGTAAGCCTCAGTTAGACTGGCAGCGAATGAGAATATACTCTGTGATTGAACACTGCTTGTTTCATAGGATGTGGGGAAAAAATGAGCTTAAAATAGAATTGAATGCTTGGCTTTTCCAGGTGACAGAGAGTAATTGTTGTTGCTGGTTGCATTTTTGGTTCTTGTCATTTTAACAGAATAAGGAAAAACAGACTTTAACTGATTTCAGCCTCTTTCAGGGCTTGCTTAGGGGTTTGATTTTTAATTGTATATATTACACATGTCTCAATGCTCTACTTCCTTCCTCCACCCCTCCCCCACCCCAACCCCCATCATTCTTTTTTTATCTTCCACAACAGATAAAAAGCTCTGTTCCTTTAATACATCAGTATATTATGGTCCCTGAGATTTCCCTTTGATCGTTGCTCTGTTGTTTATATAACTCCACCTACAATTCCTTAGAGAGAGTGAGAGCAAATCTTATTCTGTCCTGGTTTCCATTCCTTATGACAAATGGAGTTTCTCCTTTCAAGTGACATGAAGCCATAAAATAATCAGACTTCTATAATCTCAAATTAACAGTTAAGTGCTTTGTAACCCTTTATTTCAATGCTGGCTGTGCTTGAAAAGTTAGATGACAGGTAGAGCTACGTCATTGTTTAAAAATATAGGTTTGCCTATGTTGATATTAAGGAAAGAAAGAAAGAGTTAAATGGTCTGAAAATGGTCTGAAACCTTTACTGGTCTCTAATAGTGATTTGGTGTAGGGGTGAAAGAATTTCCTCACCTTAGGATTATTTCGTTTGTGTATCTAAACTGTTCATCTGGCATTAAGGAGTGAATGTTTTTCTTGAGGGAAAGAATTTCTTCCACACTGCAAGTATGTAACAACCTAATGAAGGATTTGTTCTGAAGAAATATCCAGCAAATAACCTGCAAACCAAAAGACGTGTGAGTAGCACATCCCAGCAGACGCAAACAGATCACCCTGATTTATGTCGATTCATTTGTGACATATCCATACCTTACACACTTCTCTTTAAATACTCAAGATAAACTTGTATGATAGTACTCAGAACTGTACTTCAATCTGTTGGAAATAAATGGCATTTCAAAGGGAACAGGTGCCTTTTGGTATGTAGGGTGACACACCAAAAGGGTGAAGTAGAAGGCAAGAAGGTACAGTGCACCTTGCACAAAGAATCCTTGTGCCGTGCTCACTCGAGTTTCTGGTTGGTAACTGTTCTTACACCTTGAAACTCTTTTCAGAAAGTTTGAATTACATTTATTTGTTTTCTCTCCATAATGTCAACTAAGAGTGTGGAAGACTAAAAACTGTCTTGTGGCTTGTGACAAAGAGCAATGACTTTTCAGTTTGGACAAATAATTCTCAAATGACAGCTAAAATAGCTTCTCAATGCTATTTGTAAAACCTCCAATGAGTCTGGGAAAGCTTTGGTGTTGTACTGGCCCAAAGATAAGCTGTTTTGGGGTTATTAATTACTCTTTTTACATCCTTACAAATAAGTACACTGTGACTTTATAGTGACTGCTGTTTTATGTCTTGTAATGGGACTGTAAAACACTCCCTGTTTAATTTTAGTATAGCAGGGTTAAATTTTAGCCTTGTTTTAAGTAACAGACCCTTCTTTCTTTGCTGTTGCATGAGGTCATCTGTGGTTTCAGAGTTGTATGTTATCTGCCCTATACAGCTAGTCCTATCTGCAGGAATTTTATCTGAAAGTAGCTGAAAGGCTAAAAATAGAGAATTTCGGTTGGACCCAGCAAACATGACAGCACACTGGCAACACTGAAATCACATTTTTGCCGCAGCTGCAGATGGTGACCAAAGCTTGTTTTTTGGTATTTTTGCTCTCAGAGATTGGCCTTCTCTTTCCCATAAAGTACACGATGCAGTTAAATGCTTCCTGAGCTGAGCACTGTAGAAAGGATATCTGTATCAGCTGGTTTTTAAGGTGACTACATATTTTAAAGAGCTACATCCCATTTGGTTTGTGAATTACTTTTGAGTCTCAGACTTCTGAAGGACAGATTTTAAGTGCTGCAAGGCTAGTGTTAGCACCTAACCACCTTTTGTGCGTTTGAAAAATCTCCTTTAAGTAATTTTAAGTTGAGCTGTAGCCTTCTGAAATCATTTGGACACTCCCGCTACAGCAAGAAATTACATGGTATTTCCCATGCCACAGGAATAAGCTAAATTCTTCTAATAGTTCTTTCTCAAGGATCCTTAGTATGCTCCTTGCAGCAGAATGCTGCTGTACAGTTGTCAGAAAGTTTGTGTTAAAGCAGGAAGAGAAGAAACCACAAACTTTCATTTTTGAAACTTCTGAGTGCTTCTCCGTATGAATGTCTGCTGTCAGCACAGGATCTGCTACTTGCACATCACAGAGGAAGAACCCAATGTATATTCCTATAGACTTTTGTGGAGGGGATTTTAAATTGAAAAGTATTCACAAATAAAGAGAATTCTGTCTTCAAGAGTATTTAATCGTGTTTCAGGGACATCATGTCACTCTTGCAAAGCTTTCGTACTTGTGACAGAAGTGAACACGCTCTAAAGACGTGTATGGCTGGCAGCAGAGAGGGGATGGCACATGAAAAGGGCATTTTGAAAATAAAATGCTTAGAGTCAAACAGCAGTGCATTGGCAGGAATTATGATACTTTATGGCACAAACCTGAATTTCCAAGTATTTAAATCAGAAAAAAAATCATGTTTTCTTATTTTATATTTAGGAACACGTTCATTTGAAGGAGAATCCTGTAAAGTTGTTTGTCTTGCGTACTGAGTGAAACCTTGAGCTTGTAATATATATGTTTTGTGATAATATAACTAAAGATTGTTTCCTAATATGCAAAAGCCAGGAGGATGAATCACACTTGCAGGAACCTTCCTGCAGATTCCTTCCCGTAGAATTTTATAATTTTGGCAAGCAACTGAAAAGCTGGCTTTGTAAATGTAACTAGAAACTGCAGAACCCTATAGGCCTTCGTGAAAAGAAATCACGATCCAACACGTAGTCTCAGCATGTTTTGACTTTGCCATTGTTCTCTGTTGCTTATAAAGCTGAGGGTAGCAAACAGTATCATCTTCTAAAGGTGTATTGCCACAGCTGAGTGCAGGCAGTCACAGCGCCCGCCATGCCCACACCCCAATCTGTTGGGACACCAGCCAGCTGTGGTCCAGAAGGCATGTAACTGCAGCAGTATGGTGCCTGGCCTGAGCTCATAAACCCCGCTAAGCAGCAATGGTCCAAGTGTGTGCATGTAGATACACTGATCCGGTCCCTCAGAGAATGTTGTTGAGCAGGATTACAGCAGCAAATCCATTTATTTGCGGTGACCAGCCTTCTCTCTTTTTATCCTGAAACATCTGTGAATCACTGTTCAGCCTACCCTCTTTAAGAAACCTGGCCACTGCTGGCTTGCTACCAAAATCAAAATCGAAAACAGTTTTTCCAGATAGGCACAGCTGTGTGTGCAGCGCTGTTAATCCTCACGCAGAGCATGCTGCATGCCAGTGGTTTAATGCTGGGTGTGCCCAGCAGCTTCTTCCAGGAACAAGCCCACAGTGAACTCAAGAAATTCTGTGCGCTACATCTCCTCTTCTCTTTTCACTGCTTTAATTTTAGCTTGGTTATAAATGACTGTAATACTAACTTTTTAGAATAAATTCATCTGTCCCTTTTCAACCTTTCAGTGACCATTAATTTAGGTATAACAGGCGCAGCTTGCACTTTTCAGGTAGTGAGCCAGGCTTGTTGCTTGGCTGCCCTAAGATGATTCAGTCTTAAATATGGGCATTGCACAAAATAATCTAGACTATACAGTGAGGGCGAAAATTGGCAGTCCTTGGAATCTCGACAGGCAGTTGTGCCTACATACCAGACTGCCCTAGATGTCAGTAGGTCCTGCCTATGGACCTCCCAGAGTAGAATAACGGAACCTAGATATAGAAAAAGAAATAATTAAAGATCATTCTGAGCAGTAGACATTATGCTCTATTCTCTCTGAAGTTGTTCTAAAAATAGGACTTAACCTTGTGCAATGATGTAGACACTTTAAAATTTGCCTTTTAATAATAGTTATAGCAATCCAAAGCAATTTTCTGGGTGTCCCTTCTATATATTCAGAACTATTCCTGTATCTGACAGTAAGTACAGTATTAATATCAGTACTGCCAAGGTCATAACTAAAATCTTATAATAGTCCTTTTCAGTTATATGGAACTTTAGGAGTAATGCTACGTACTGCTAAATTGCAAATGGTAGAGCTTCAAGTGGAGATTTCTGTTAATACAGAAGGTATGTAGTAGTGAGACATGTGACACCTTTTAATGCAAATCCAGCAATTCTGCAAGACAATACTCATGCCACGTATTTGCACATTTGGCACGCTTAGAGCTGAAAATGTGAATCGTTATATTCTGACTCATATTAAGCCAAAGATCAACATGCAGAACTTTGAACCTGCAGCACAGAACTGAACAGAGAATCGTCACTTTGTCAGATTTACTTTACAAGCAGATTGCACCACTTTTTAAATGAATTAAAACCAATGTGTCATGTAAAAGAATCTGCTTTACCTTAAAATAGATGCTACTGTGCTGCTTGAGTTGCCTACTGGAAATCTGAACTGATCTTGGAAACCAAAACTGAAGGGAAGTTCTCTACTTTGCAGGGTTCATTTGAGTTCTGTTATGGTGATTTGGTTTTCTGTCTTCCATCTACAATGTCTTTGAGTGATTGTTAAGTGTATAGATCCCATGTTCGGTAAAAAGGTAAGGATATGATATATATATTGAATACATTTTCACTGCGAGTGCTGAATATGGAACTTTTAAAGATAAATAAGCGCAGAGGCTTTATCTGAGGTAGCTTTCAAAAAGTGGTGGAGACCTGTATGTTACAACATTTATATAAGCGGTATGATATTTTCCTCTGGCTAAATAATTTTCTGTAGTTGTTTCACCAGAGTGCTGATTTTATCCGTATGTGTGTT